GTCCAGCGGATCCTGCAGGTCAGCATATAACTCTGCTGCTTCGTCCGCTGCTTCCGCCTGCAGCAGAAGAACACAGCAGCAGCAGCAGCAGCAGCATTAGCAGCAGCAGCAGCAGAGTGATGAGAAAGACACAGGGAAGAAAACGGAGACACTGAATTGTGCTGCTGCAGCAGAAGCCCAAAAAAGGAGACATCTTCCTCACCTCTCCCCACGGTGCTGCAGCTCGGCGAGCTGTCTGCAGCCGCTGCTGCTGCTGCTGCTGCTGCTGCTGCTGCTTAACCTTCCATGGTATAGGGAATTTCTGCTGCAGCAGCAGCCCGAAGAGCGCATGCAAGGGGTACGGGTCTGCTGCTGTGAGGTGTATAGCCAGCTGCAGCAGCTGCCTCGCCACCGCCAGCCAAGCCAGGCCTTCGGGGGGGAACTGTCTCTGCAGCACAGCAGCAGCAGCAGCAGCAGCAGCAGCAGCAGAAAGGCACCTCTTTTTTTTTCTATGAAGAGCTACCGCATAACAACGAACGAGCAGGCAGCAGCAGCAACAGCAGCAGCAGAAAGAAAGATGCAGCAGCAAAGCGACGACTCGAAAGCAAAGGAGAAAGCCAAGCAGCAACAGCAACGCTGGCAGCAGCAGCAACAGCAGCAGCACCAGAAACAGCAGCAGAAAGCAGCTCAGCCGCAGCAGGGAAAGAGCACGATGAAGTACAGCAGCAGCAGCAGCAGCAGCAGGAGCGGCAGCAGCAGCGGCGCCAGCACCAGCAAACAGCAGCAGCAGCAAGATAGAAGCAGCAGCAGCAACAGCAGCAGCAGCAGCAGCACCTGCGCCGCGGATGTGAGCTCTGATGCGCAGCGGGCGGCGAGGGGGCCGAAGCAGCAGACAGCAGCAGGAGAAGCAACAAGAGCAGCAGCAGCTTCTGTTTCGTTTCCTTTGAGGGTGGCAAACAAAGCAGAGACAGAATGCTGCGGCAGGTTGTAAGACAGCAGCATGCATAGAAAGGGCTCGCTGCAGCAGCAGCAAGCAGCAGCAACACAACTCAATGCGAGGTCCACTGGTGTGTCTCCTCTGTTCGCTAGAGAGGAGACAGCAGCAAACAAACGACGCAAAATAGTAACATAACGAGGGAAACCCAGGCTCTTCTTCATCTTGCTGCTGCTGCTGCTGTTGCTGCTGTTGCTGCTGCTGCTGCTGCTGCTGCTGTCCGCCGCGCCCAACCCATTCGCAGCGCCGCTGCTACCCGCACCGCTGCTGCTGCTGCTGCTGCTGCTGCTGCTGCTGG